AATTATATTTTGTTATTATATACAAATACATGCTAGGACTCATGAGGTGGAGAAAACTTTTTGTGGAAAAAAATTACCTCCATCCTTCATAAAAAGGAATATTTTTTCAGTCTATTCCTAAAATGGGGATCTGCAGAGCTTTACAGATTTTGGAGTAAATTGCTGAAGTAAATAGCCATCTCTAGTAAGCTTAACGCTCATAGGTTGATTTTATGTTTAGTAGGAAAATAAAGAGCTATCGCTTGTAGGCTGATTTTAAAGAGGTAGACTTTAACGCTTGTAGGTTGAACTCAAGGCTTTTAAACTTGTAAGAAGACGCAAACTAAAAACAAAAAAAAAAAGTATTGGCTATTATGAATCAATTCATTGTTAATATCTCACATTTTTCGTCCTCTCACCTCCCCACTTTCTATAGCATTTATACACCAAATAAAAGTGTAACTTTCACCACCTTCATGTAATTACAATAATGATTAATAATCCATGATACCATGCATTTAGATGGTGATAATGAGATTTTTTCTAACCTTTCTATTAGTATGAGATTAATTCTTATAACCTTCCATTTAGTGAGTGTTAATTTTTTGTAACTCCTATCCCCTATTGGCCATGTACATAGAACTTGTACTTTTGCAAATATATGGAAATGTTTGGAGAACAAATGAAGAAGGAAATAATAGAAATATAATATATCTTTGTATTACTTCACTTTGTCTTTCTATTTTTTCTTTTATTAATTGATTCTTTTTTTATTTTACAACACATTATCAACACGACTTGTCTCTATATAAATTACTATTCATGAGTTCTATTTGAGGTGATGAACCAATTGAGGTAAAGAACTAAGTTGAGGTAAAGTTTTGAGACAAGATTTTGAGACAATCTAGTCTTTCAATTTTTTATTTTCTAATGTGAATAGTCTATAGTGCTATAATGATTTTCTTGTTTATATGCACTTGTTAAAAAATTTGAGTTCATTGCCCTTGATAAATTGGTTGTTGATGAATGATTCACTTGAATAATGGAATTGTTTGGAAGAAAGATGATTATCAAAAGAAAATTGCCACTCTTCCAAAAAGTTAGTTATGAATGGATCCATTTATTACTTGAGTATAAATCTGTAAATATTTTAAATTATTTTATGTAGAAGAAAAATTATTATTGATGAAAACATACTAAAGAAGATACACTCTCCTTTGCATGCCTCAATATGTTCCAAAAGTAACAATCTTGAGAGAGTAATTTTAATATATATATTCAAAATAAATATGTCTTCTTGTTGCCAACAAAATTATGAATTGATGACAAATCATCAATCACAACTATTGGTTTGATTCCATTCCTGGAAGAGAATGTGGCATTATGTTGTAATCATGGTTATGAATGTAGTTGTCAAATGAGACTCTACAAAAATGAAAAGAATTGAAAAATGAAAAGAATTGCAAAATAAGTTGGCAAACAGTTTGAGAATTCTTAGATGTGATATAAATGAATATTGGTCACATATCTTTAATATATCCAAGCAATTCATGTGCTTATTTATCTGAAGTATTTGCTTAATTTATTCCAAGTTTTATCTAATGAGAAGGGACAAGTTGTAAAAATATATTTTGTGAAAAACAATATTATGGATATGCAGTTGTAATATTTGTGATACACAATTTTATTTTAAACTTAGATGTATTATATTTATTTTGAGAATATTGGGGAAAGTATCTTAAATATTTGAGATATTAAATATATATCCTAATGTGGGGATTATGAATTAAAAGGAAAATTCTTTGGAATCAAGTCTCCTCAATAAGAATTCATTTCTAATGAGAAGATGGGATGCAAGAATGCATCTATGAATGGATATAAATTCTACAGTAACATTTCTTATATGGGGAATTTATATCCCAAAATTTGAGATTCATTTTAATCCCATCTAGTATCTCTCAATATGGAGGTTACATATTATTGGAGAAATACTTTGAAAAAAGGCATCCTTATTATAGTAATGAAATCAATGATGAAAAGTTAAAATTGTGTAAAGAATTGCTATCACATAATGAGGGTATAATGGTAGCTTTGTGATAAATAAAATGTGACATACATTCAATCTTGTTATACATAATGTATAATAGTGGAATAGAACTTCACAAATTATATGTCATTTTTCAATATGCAAAAGGTTGTGCCATAATGAAATATCTTGAAAAAGAAAACTTTTCCTAGTTATACTTAGCTTGAAGCTAATGTGATATTTCATTTTACTAGCTTGATTGAAAAACCCAAAGAGCTTGTACATTGTTTACTATTAAAAACTCTTGAAAAGCTTGAATTTTGTAGCTTAGAAAACAAAATTTTTTAAATATGTGACTAGTTGTATCCTAATAGATTATATTGAAATCTACTAAATTTTAAAGGTATAAACATAATGGTTATCATATTGAAACAATGAATGAGAATAGTACAAAATGCCCCATATGTTACATCTCTTATGTGACCAAAATGCACATATTTGAAAAGTTTTCTCTTTTGAATTACATATATAAATCTAATAGAATCAAACATTGGGGCTAATAAAAAATTAATCTTAGAATGATTTGGGCTTAAGTAATTTGGCCATCAAGTGATTTTTCATATGTTGCATTGCCTCGAAAACATGATTACCAAGCATTTTACAAATACAATTGAAATATAATCTCTTTCATTGTCATATTGGATTTCAAGGAGACATATAAGCCTATGCTGAATTATTTGAAATATTTTTGATATATTATGGTATTAATATATACTTCAATATAAAGGTCACAAAATAGTCCCTTAAGTAATCTGAAATATTGTATTGAGAGCATATTTAGCTTAATAATCCCAAAGAAGGCCGAGAGTTTGTATTGGATGATTGTGAATCTTTTTATAACAAAATTTATTGATTGTCAGTCTAAAGGAATCATGTTCCTAATATCAAGGGAAGAGAAATAAATGTTGGAAAGGGTGAGATAACTCAAGATGCATTTTCTAAGATCCTCAAATAACTTGATATGAATCAAAATTTTAAAATTCTATACTATCAATTGATGGCTGCATCTATTGATGAAATGAAGGTAATATATCATATATTTAAGTTTTAAGTGCTTTTGCTTATATTGATATTCTTATTAAAAAAGTTGCTAAAATATTAGCAAATAAGTACATGCCAGAAATGTGTTAGAATGAATGATTCTAAGAATAAAAATTCAAGAATGAAAAGAAAGTATAAGCAGAATGTTAGTACTGTTGAAATCATAAAACTCTTAAAGAGTTCTTGATGAAATAACCCTAAGAAAGGGTTTAGGTACTTAAAAATGATGAGAATGTTGAAATTATATACAATAATGAGATCTCTATAGTTCTTCTAAAAGAGAATGGAATTGATATGAAATTATTATTGATAAAAAATTCTTGCATATGCAATAGTGATGGATATAGTCAATGAAAATAAGGATCTTGGATCCAATTTATTGAAAATTATCAATGAAGAAATGATTGGCCAACATGAAACGAGATGATCCAAGTAGAATTAAAATTGCGAGAATTACGTGATGTTTTTGGATCAATATTCCAAATATATATTGAAATAGTGTCTATCAAATTTATTCAAGTGAGAAGCCAACAAATTCTCTTCACAAAATGATTGGCTTCTAGAATGTTGAGTAGCTAAAACACTAGATTGGCATAAATTGCATGATTATGAATGTACATTGAATTCAGGGGGGAGTATTATACACACTATAATCTTTTCCCTTCGCCAAGGTTTTTTTCCAATTGGGTTTTTTCCTAGCAAGGTTTTTAATGAGGCAATTTAACAAGCACATAATAAAAGGTGAACATCTAAGAGAGAGTGTTATGAATCAATTCATTATGGATGTCTTACCTTCTTCATCCTCTCACTTCCCCACTTTTCATAGCATTTACACACCAATTAATGGTGTAACTTCCACAATCTCTATCCAATTACAATGGTAATCAACACTCCATAATGTTATGCATTTAGATGGTGATAATGAGATTCTTTGTAACCCTTCCATTAGTAGGAGATTAATTTTTGTAACCTCCCATTTAAAGGATGTTAATTTCTTGTAACTCCTATCCTCTATTGGCCCTTATATACAGAGCTTGTACTCTTATAAATGTATGAAAATGTATGGAGAACAAATGGAGAAGGAAGAAGTAAAAACATGATATATTTTTGCATTGTCTCACTTTACTTGTTAATTTTTCTTCTACTAATTGATTTTTTCTTTATTTTACAACATTGACAATATAAATCGTCAAATGGGTGGCAAATCCCTTAATATTAAGGATTATATCTTAGTTAATAATTCTAATTTTATAGTTTACAAAGTAGGAAATTAACTTTAAAAAAAAAAAAATAGACATCAACAAAAAACAAGAAGTTTGAGAGATAAACTCTATTGGGCCACAATGGCCAGTTTGTCAAATGGACTTACATTAAGATGAAGACCAATTTGGGTCACATAGAAATAACAATCAATCTTAAGATGAAGTTTTAAGTAGGTACGCTCCTTCCCTGCTCCCTTAATCTTTGGGCTAACTAGGCTTAAGATTGAAATCAGTTTGGGCCACATGAATCCTAGCCCAATACCAAACAACGTTGCAAGAGACTTCCAAGCCTACTCTTTCCTTTCGCTTCCGCTCTTTAATCGAATCTGAGTTTGGAGAAAATATAGAAATAAGGATCTTAATTTTTATATATTTTTTATTTAAAAATGTTAATTTTATTAATTTTTTAATAAAAATGTTAATTTTTTATTTAAAATATTCATTTTCAACATTTAAATTAAAAAGTTTTTTTATCACATCAGTATTAACATCTAATTAATTATTAAATGAAAAAATTTAAAGCCCTCGTCTTAAATAAAAAGGCAAAATCTTATATTAAGTCTCTAAACTTATCTCAGATATTCAATCAAACCCTTAAACTTTGTTTGAAGCAAATAAGTCTATAAATTTAACAATTTAGGCAATTTAACTCTCTTTTTTACATTAGACTTAATACCTATTTATGCATCACTTGTATAAATAAAATATTAACATGTTATTGACTTATTCACACAAGTAATGCACAAATAAGAATTAAGTCTATTATAAAAAATAAGTTAAATTACTTAAATTTTCAAATTTAGAAATTTATTGACTTTAATAAAAGTTTAAAAACTTAATTAAGAGTTTGAGTAAGTCTAAGGGCTTAACAATAAGGTTTTGCTAATTAAAAAAATTAAAAAATTAACATCCTTAACAATAATTAAAAATTAATATTTTTATTTAAATCTTAATAAAATTAACATTTTTAGATAAAAAATATATATATATCCTTCCTTATACATTTTCCCTGAATTTGCGTTCAAACCAAGGCGGCAGACCATGACGACGACCCAATGTTGAATGTACACATCACATTGACTATTCAAACCCCGCCGTGTCTACTAAAAAAACTTCACGTATTTTTTTGGGATAAAATCCTTCTTCATCCCTAACCTGTTTGACATTGGATACTTCCATCTTTAACCTTCATTTAATGCCACTACTAGTCCCTAACCTTTTGAAAATATGTCCACTGTTAGTCATTCTCATTTCGTCATGAACTTAGGTGTCAAATTTAATAGAAAATGATGATATGGAAAATGGTAGGCCTTCAATGAAACCCTTCATTTAGGATTAAAAAAAAAAAAAACCCATATTTTTTTCTCTCTCCTCCATGTTATATATTGGTTCTAGTTTTAAAGTTTGGGCAACGCTACAAGTATAATTTTTATTTTAATTTTTTTTTATGGTTAACTACAAGTATAGCTACAAGTATAATGTTAATGAACAAAAAAATGCATTATTAAATAAGTATATACATATAACATTATGTATGATCCTTCAAATGAAAAAAAATAAATTATAAAATGATACATCATATTGTACATAAATATTATATGTGACTTTTTTTTTTTTAAGTTTCAATTGAAGGCTTCACTATTTTTCCACATAATCATTTTTTCTCAAATTTAGATTTTATTTAGTATGGTTGTAGTTTTTTATTTTTAGTTTTGGTTTTTATAAATTTTGTAATTTAAAAAAGAAAAACTCATTTAGTTTCATATGCTTTTACAATCTATTATTATGATATTATAGAAAAAAAGGAAAAAAAATAATTTTAGTACTATTAGATAAATTCATATTTTTAATTGTAAGTGTTAAAACATATACTAAACAAATTGTTAATTTTGGTTTCTAGTAATTGTTAAATTTATAAAAACCAATAAAATTAAAAATCATAACAGTACTAAATAGAGTCTTAATGTCAAAGTTGATAGAAAAACAAATAATGGACATTTACTAATAAGGCAAAACTTTACATTAAACCCTCAAATATACCCCCAAATTCTTAATTAAGCTCCTAGACTTTGAATGAAGCAACTATGCTTCTAAATTTCTCAATTGAGGTAATTTAATCCTCTTTCTTATAACGAACTTAATGTCTATTTGTACCTTATTTATACGGATAAGATTAATACTCATTATGTAATTAATAATATGTCAATATTTTATTCACGTAAATAATGTATAAATAGATATTAAGTTCGTCGTAAAGAAGAGAGTTTAAATTACTCAAATCACTATGTTTAGAGACTTAGTTACTTTAATAAAAATTTAAAAATTTAATCAAGAATATGAGGCAAGTTTGGAGACTTAATAATACGGTTTTGCCAATTATTAATGGCACAAAATGAAGGGTTGGTATGAAGTATGAACACATGCCGTGTAAGAAAGCTTGGGGATTAATGGACGAGTTTACCCTCTTTCGGGTAAATATACTGCTCCTCATGGTTTACCAAATCAGACATCATGCCTTGGATTTTTTTTTTTTTTAGCAGCATCATGCCTTGGATTTTCTCTGTCTTCGTCCCCCATGGTTTCGACTTTGAACCCAACAACAATCAAACCGTCAGCAAAATGCGCCCATCTTTTTGCCTTGGTCATCACCATTATTTTCCTTCTTGATTTTTACATTTTCCACATCTTGTTTCTACCCAAATTTCCCTTATAAATAACGCCCACCGCTATTTCACGTTACGTTCTTTCAATTCTTCTTCGGTTATTGAATTTTTGAGTAGAACGCATTTAAAGCTTTAATCTTTCTTGGTTTTTTTATTCGTTTTCTAGGAAGCCAAACAAGGGTTTAAGGTTTTGGCAATCTGGGTTTTTGTTTTTTTCTTGCGTCGTATAAATGGTGGAGTCAAAAGGGAAGAAGACCCAGAGGGGTGAGAGAAAGCAATGGAGATGGGCAGTTGCTGCTATCATCCCAATTGTTCTGGCAATTGCGATGGCTTCTGCAATCTTCCCTAAGATCTCTCTATTTGGACAAACGAATAAGTCGTCGTGTGATTGTTCGCAGGTTTAGCCTTTCTCTTTACTCTTTGAAACTTTGTGTTTGGGTATGGAGAAATGGGAGGAAAAACGTCAGAAAGGAAATGAAAAATGTTGATTCTTGTTTTGATAATTTGTTGTTTTTTAATTAATTGGCGCCAAATATAACTACCCTATTTGAAATTTTGTGTATACCCTGTGATCATGGATTGTAAATTATGAATGTCTCAGAATTTTGGAATGAACTCATTGAAATTTTGGTTCTCCTGACCTTTTGCCATGCCCATAATGTTGTGTTGGATATGGAAGTAAATTTGATGCCTTGTCTCCTTGAATTTTTGCAGGACAAGCACAGGTTTAGCGGGATAGTGGAAGATTGTTGTTGTAATTATGAAACCGTAGACCATCTTAATGAGGAAGTATTACATCCGATTCTCCAGGAACTTGTTAAAACCCCATTTTTCCGGTACTTCAAGGTTAGCCTTTTGCAAATCTATTTGAAGAATTAGATGTAGGAAAGCCTCACTCTAGCTGATGGTATTTTCTTATGATGTTGTTTATGAGAAGGGATGAAGCCCAATCAAACAATCTTGTTTGAATTAACTGGTTCCGATTACAATGTGCATGTTCTTACGCACTAGCTAATTCTAAATGAAATGTGTTTTGTGATTGAGACGTAAAGCATAATGACCAAATGGAGTTTTGCTCTTTTCCCATAAGTGTCTTCTGTACGGTTATCTAATTATCTTCTAGGTTTTGTGTAGATAGTTATATTAAACTGTATTGTGTTAGGTTGAATTATCAAATATAGCATAAAAGTTTATCATCTGTAATGAATTGCAAACTTGATACGTTTCTGGTCTGTGTATGTTTATGAAGACATGTTAATTCATTTTGTGGCAGGTTAAGTTGTGGTGTGACTGCCCTTTCTGGCCTGATGATGGTATGTGCCGTTTGAGGGACTGCAGTGTTTGTGAATGCCCTGAAAGTGAATTCCCTGAGTCATTTAAGAAGCCATTCCACCATGGACTGCCATTAGATGATGTTGTTTGTCAAGAAGGAAAGCCACAGGCTGCTGTTGACCGCACCTTAGACAATAAAGCTTTTAGAGGATGGACAGAAACAGACAATCCTTGGACATATGATGATGAGACAGATAATGGTGTGTCCGATACTTGCAGAGCATACATTGTCAATTTTTATTTATTCAGTTATTTTTCTGAATTTTATACTATGGAGCATGTTTAGGTTTATTCACTTGAGAATCATAGTTTGTTCATACACTTTAATTTTGGCCATTGGGGTCTTCGCCATGGCAATTATGCTAATATTTTCAGAAAGATTGTTTTAGTTCATGATCTATTAGTTTTGTCCTTTAAGTTGCTGTACATTTGTGATTTATTAGCTGCTAATTTTCAAAAGTTTGATGTAGCAATTTATTATGGTTTATGGATTTTATTTGCAGCTGAAATGATGTATGTAAATCTTCAATTGAACCCTGAACGTTATACTGGCTATACTGGTCCTTCAGCTAGACGGATATGGGATGCTATTTACTCAGAGAATTGTCCCAAATGTAAGTTGTTAGCCATTCTTCTTATGCATGTGTGTTTCTGTGCACTCGTGTTAAGGATGCCTATGCTGTTTTTGCATATTCTGAGGAACTGAATATCTAATTTTTATAGTCTGTTGTAAAGTTGTTTTCAAACATTCTGTTTCAAGTGTGTGCTGTATTCCTTCATTTAACTTGTTTGTTGTTACTCAAGAAGACCTTGAACTGGTTATTCTGTTGAACATCCCTGTTTGAAGCTGACTGTCTGAAACCAGAGTCATCATGTGATACTTCTTTTTTAAGCTTCTAATCTACCTACCTCTTACTGGTTTTTTGGTGGTGCACTAACCTCATATTGGTTTGTTTGGTGGCTCACTTACTATGTTGCTTGCTTAATCATATGCACAGCTGGACATATATGTGTTTGAGATTTATTATATTGTTTATCTTGAGAATCTGGAAGTCACAGGGCTTCCAAATTCCAATATTTATTTTTTATTTAGGGCTCTTATAATTCAAGTCTCTTCAATTTTTATTGCTAAGATAATATTGTCTTGGTTAATATTCACCAAAATATTGCCTTGCTGATTTCAATCTCTTGTGCAGATCCATCTGAAGATTCATGTCAAGAAGAAAAATTACTGTACAAATTGATTTCCGGTCTACACTCCTCCATTTCAATACATATAGCTTCTGATTATCTACTTGATGAAGCTACAAACTTGGTATATGTTTCATTTATGCCCTCAAATGCTTATTTTCTTTGACAATCCTTTGTTGTAAGCTTTTGCCTCTTATTTTCAAAATCTGTATGGGCTTCCTCACTATATTTCTTCTTAACAGTTAGCACGCTAAAATTAAGAGAAATAAGAGAGATTAAGCCTCCTTGAAGATTTGCAGCCTAAAATTTAATTCTTGAACTGTTTGGGCAGTTTTATTTTATTTTATTTCATTTTTATTGGCCTGTTTCAGCAGTTTTTATCCTAAAAACTTCAAAATTGATTCAGTGGCACCATTTAGGCTGTTTCAATTTTATGAAATATTATACAAAACATGAGACACAGGATGGGTAAAGAAGGATAAGTTTTTCCTGTCATGAAGTCAGATGTTTTGCTGACTGAAAAAAAGTCATATGTTGGCCCCTTACAAAATTTATGGCATGTGTGCACAACAATATACTGAATGATCTAATATTGTTTTCATTTCTATATTGTTTTTTATGATATCAGTGGGGCCCTAATCTCACATTGTTGTATGATCGCGTTTTAAGATATCCGGATCGTGTGAGAAACTTGTACTTCACATTCCTCTTTGTTCTCCGAGCTGTGACAAAGGTGAGTATCAATCCATAGTGATCAAACTGATCAGTGTTTTGTTCATAATGCCATAGTTATATTTTACTTGCTTAACCTACGTGCATTTCAGGCAACAAATTACTTGGAACAAGCTGAATATGAAACTGGCAATCCCACTGAGGACCTGAAGACTCAGTCCTTTATAAAACAGCTGCTCTATAATCCACAATTGCAAGCTGCATGCCCACTCCCATTTGATGAAGCAAAATTGTGGAAAGGACAAAAAGGGCCTGAATTGAAACAGAAAATACAAGGACAATTTAGAAATATCAGGTTTTTCTCCAACTTCACTCAAGCAGTGCATTTTAGATTTTTTTTTAATTATCATTTCCAAAAATATAGAATAAGAAACAATGTTTGCTTAATAAATGTTGCCTTCATGCTTCAGTCTCAAGATGTTATTCGTTATTGACAATTGTTGGCAATAAAAGAGAACATAAATCAGTACTTCTGCATTTTCTCTTGATATGTAATGCTCCTTATTTGTAGAGATGTTCTGTAAACACTCTCTTTGATTTTCCATGTTTGTTTTGACATCTGAACACCTGTGAAAATGACAAAATTATTGCTATTGGCATTACAGTGCCTTGATGGACTGTGTCGGCTGTGAGAAATGTAGACTTTGGGGAAAGCTTCAGGTTCTTGGTCTTGGAACTGCATTGAAGATTCTCTTTTCAGATGATGGCCAGGAAAACTTGGCTCAAATAGTAAGTATCTTTCCCTAAACACACTTTGCAATTTTGAGTCCTGATTCTTTCTAATTGTCAAATTTCAATTAGTAGACAATTAACTTTCTTCCCTTGGAAGTATGTATTGTATTTTGCTGAAAACATGTGCTCTTGAGGACCATTTCCAACTATTCCATGAAAACTGTTGACTTTTAACTGTATCATATAATAATTAGAAATTTCAGAGTTAACTTTGTAATTCAAATCTAAAATATGAGAACTATCTAGATTTCATCCGGCCACCTTTAAACCTAGTCTGAGCAAGGATGCTTTGATAAACATGTGCCAAGGAGGCTGCTGTCTGATTTGTTTTCCATCTCTCATACAAATCATTGCCTTTTGTATTGAAATAGCCTCTTAAAATCTTAAATCTGGGATCCTTTTCAAATTAAAGTTGCACCAATCTCATGATTCCTTTTGTTGCCGATTTGGTGCTACAATAAAGATCAAAGTTTACTGAACTTTTAGTTGTATTTCCGTGCCATTATTTGTTCTTTTATTTTTGTTCTGCTGCACATTTGTGGTCTCTATAAGCACCTTGTTATACTGAATTTATCAAATCATATTTTATTTATTTTCCTCCATATGGACCCTCAATTTTTTATTGCATTTAAAATTCATTTTCCTGATCACCAGTTGCAGTTGCAAAGGAATGAAGTGATTGCCTTGATGAATCTCCTTAATCGACTGTCAGAGTCTGTTAATTTTGTTCACCAAATGGGATCTGCAGTTGAAAGGCAGTTTTCTTCACCCACTAACGGTAATAGGCTATAGAGATGGATATCAACATCAATATGAACATAGGTCGGACAATGTTAAATTTGTGGCATTTAACCTTTTATATTCTGGCTCCTTGGCTGTCAATGTTCCTAAATTCTGAGGCCGAGCATTGAGATTCTTCAATTCTTTTCCAGGAAAATATTACCAAATGATAGAGAAGCCAATGTATAATGTTGAACTGCAAAATACAACACAGGAAGATAAAGCATAGGAAACAGCTGAATGTTCTCTGATCAAATGAGAGTAGAAAGTGCATGATTGTTCTTTTGCTTTCTATGAACAAAATTGTGAAAAAGGAAATGAGTATCAATGACAGGAGCAAAGTTTTCCAGACTTTACATGGTTTTATACATTCTTTGCGATTTTCATGCCCGCGGAAGATGAAATGAGTACCTTTGAGCTTAAAATGTTTTGTTAACTGGGGGTTGCTTAGGTTTGTGTTCTTACACAAATGAAAAAGATTCACACACGCTAAGATTAGAAGATTTGAACCTAAAAGGAAATTGGTTGTTTGAAGAAAAGGAAAAGGAATAGTAATTTCCAGTATTTTAGTCTATAGTCTTTTTGCTTTGACTGCAAAATAAGTGCCATTAAATGAGAAATCAGCCCCCAATATCAGGGGTTTATCTCCATCCGGTTTTTATTTAGTATGTCTCTTTTGTCGTATGAATTATCAATTTGCCAAACAGACCTTTGGCTATTCTTCTGTTTATATGTTAGAGAAAAAACTTTAAAAATTATACTGTATTTTATTATAAAATATTTCAGTAATGTTGTCAGAAGATTTTTATTTACACCATAAATTGTAAAAATTTAAGATCATACCACGTGCCAAAATATTTTTAAATGGATGGAAGAGATTTTGCCATGTTAAATTTGTTATTCAAGGCTTCATGATAGATCAATTGTCACATTGGCAAAAAAGAGAGATGAAAATAAGATTTTATCATGTAATTACCTCTTTGAGTCAAAAAA